CCCTGTCCAGAACCCATGTTGGTGCTTGTTTACAAACCCAATGCTCTCCAGGTGCTCAACAAGTCTTAGCCTAATATTCTTTCAAGTATTTTGCAGGGGATGCTTGTCAGTGATACGGGTCTGTAGTTAAGTGCCTCCTCCCTATCCCCCTTTTTGAAAATCGGTACGACATTTGCCTCCTTCCAGCAACTGGGCAATTCTCCCGACATAAGTGACTCATTGAAGATCATTGCCAGAGGCACGCTGAGAGCCTGCGCTGCCTCTTTAAGTATCCACGGTGATACTTTGTCTGGTCCAACAGCTTTATTTGCATCCAGTGTTGTCAACTGTTTCATTACATCCTCTGCTGTCACCTCTATATCTGATAGTCTTTCATCTTGGGTAATCTCTTCTAACAATGGGAGCTGCTCAGGCTCGGTAGTGAACACTCCATGGAATTTTGCATTCAGTACCTCGCAGATTTCCTTGTCGCTTTCTGTATATGCCCCTTCTGTTTTCCTCAGTCTTGTCACTTGGTCATTTACCGACATCTTCCTTCTTATATGGCTATGTAGTAATTTTGGTTGCTTTTTCGCTTTGACTGCAATATCGTTCTCATAATTTCTTTCCGACACTCGTCTTATGTTAATGTAATCATTCCTGGCTCTGTTACATCTAATCCTGTTGTCCTCTGTCCTTTGCCTTCTGTACTTCCTCCACTCCCTCCTGCTTCTCACCTTTGCTTCCTGACACTGTCTATTAAACCATGGGTTATTATATTCCCTCCTGCTTTTTTCCTTTATTGTTGGAATAAATCTATCTTCAGCCTCCTTGCATTTCAATATGACTTGGTTCATCATACCTTGCACTGTTTTTCCTCTAAGTTCTTCCTCCCACTGCACTTCTCCCAGGTAGTCCCTTATCCTTCTGTAGTCCCCTTTTCTGTAATCAAGTCTCCTTTCCCGGACCTCTTGTCCTTTGGTCACAATTTTAAGCTCCATCATGTAGTCAAAGACTAGGACACAATGGTCACTAGCTCCTAGTGGTATTTCATGTTCCAACTGCTCGATGTCTTCTACATTCTGAGTGATAATGAGATCTAATAGGCTGGGCGTATCCCCTCCTCTTTCCCTAGTATCTTCTTTCACATGCTGTGTTAGGAAATTCCTGTCAATAACGTCTACCAGCTTCGCTCCCCAGGTCTCCTCCCCGCCATGGGGATTCCTCGTTTCCCAATCTATCTCTCCGTGATTTAGGTCCCCCATGACCAGCAGCTTCGCTCTCATTCTATGCGCTAAAGTTGCTGCCCTCTGCAGTTCATCCATACATGTCTTGTTGCTGTCCTCGTACTCCTGCCTGGGCCTTCTACTGTTTGGTGGGGGATTGTAGAGTATCAAGATTACAATCTTCTTCCCATCCACTGTCAGAGTTCCATGTATGAAGCTTGTGCTTTCATTGGTACCCGGATTTTCCAGCTCATCAAACTTCCATTTCCGCTTTATTAGTAGTGCCACTCCTCCTCCCTGTCTCTGTGTCCTTTCTTTTCTTATCACCTGTGTGTGTGTGTGTGTGTGTGTGTGTGTGTGTGTGTGTGTGTGTGTAATTACCTAAGTGTAATTACCTAAGTGTAATTACACTAGGTATGTGTGTGTGTGTGTGTGTGTGTGTGTGTGTGTGTGTGTGTGTGTGTGTGTGTGTGTGTGTGTGTGTGTGTGTGTGTGTGTGTGTGTGTGCACGCGAGATGCGAGAGAGTGCGTGTGCGCGTGCATAGATTTAGAGTCCCCGGGTTGAGTGTTAGAGGGCGTCGCGTCTCAGGTCTCCGGGGTGTTAACCCCAGCCGCTCTCTCCTGCCTCCCTCCTCCCTGTCTGTAGCACTCCCCTCCCCTCCCCTTCCTCCTCCTCACCCCTCACCCCTCCCCCTCCTCACCCCTCCCCCTCCTCCCCCCCTCCCCTCCCCCTCCTCACCCCCTCCCCCTCCTCTCCCCCTCCCCCTCCTCACCCCCTCCCCCTCCTCACCCCCTCCCCCTCCTCACCCCTCCCCTCCATATATCCCCCGTATACCTCCCTATCACCCCCACATACCTCCCCATCACCCCCACATACCTCCCCACCACCCCCACATACCCCCCATCACCCCCACATACCTCCCATCACCCCCACATACCTCCCCATCACCCACATACCTCCCCATCACCCACATACCTCCCCATCACCCACATACCTCCCCATCACCCCCACATACCCCCCATCACCCCCCCATACCTCCCCATCACCCCCACATACCCCCCATCACCCCCACATACCTCCCCATCACCCCCACATACCCACCATCACCCCCACATACCTCCCCATCACCCCACATACCTCCCCATCACCCCCCACATACTTTCCCATCACCCCCCACATACCTCCCATCACCCCATACCTCCCCATCACCCCCATATACCTCCCATCACCCCACATACCTCCCATCACCCCCCACATACCTCCCCATCACCCCCCACATACCTCCCCATCACCCCCACATACCTCCCATTACCCCATACCTCCCCATCACCCCCACATACCTCCCATCACCCCAAACCTCCCATCACCCCCACATACCTCCCCATCACCCCCACATACCTCCCCATCACCCCCACATACCTCCCCATCACCCCCACATACCTCCCCATCACCCCCACATACCTCCCCATCACCCCCACATACCTCCCCATCACCCCCACATACCTCCCCATCACCCCCACATACCTCCCCATCACCCCCACATACCTCCCCATCACCCCACATACCTCCCCATCACCCCCACATACCTCCCCATCACCCCCACATACCCCCCATCACCCCCACATACCTCCCCATCACCCCCACATACCTCCCCATCACCCCCACATACCCCCCCCATCACCCCCACATACCTCCCCATCACCCCACATACCCCCCATCACCCCCATACCTCCCCATCACCCCACATACCCCCATCACCCCCACATACCTCCCCATCACCCCCACAAACCTCCCCATCACCCCCACAAACCTCCCCATCACCCCCACATACCTCCCCATCACCCCCACATACCCCCATCACCCCCACATACCTCCCCATCACCCCCACATACCCCCCATCACCCCCACATACCCCCATCACCCCCACATACCCCCCATCACCCCCACATACCTCCCCATTACCCCCACATACCCCCCCCATCACCCCACATACCTCCCCATCACCCCCACATACCTCCCCATCACCCCCACACATACCTCCCCATCACCCCCTCATACCTCCCCATCACCCCACATACCTCCCCATCATCCCCACATACCTCCCCATCACCCCCACATACCTCCCCATCACCCCACATACCTCCCCATCACCCCCACATACCTCCCCATCACCCCCACATACCTCCCCATCACCCCCACATACCTCCCCATCACCCCCACATACCTCCCCATCACCCCCACATACCTCCCCATCACCCCCACATACCTCCCCATCACCCCCACATACCTCCCCATCACCCCCCACATACCTCCCCATCACCCCCACATACCTCCCCATCACCCCCACATACTTCCCCATCATCCCCACATACTTCCCCATCACCCCCACGTCGCCCCAAGCCTTCCACCCGCCTCTATTTTCATTTCATTATTATTCTCACTAACTTTGTTGGCTGAGTCGCCCCGGTACTTGACAGCTGAACCGTTTCGCAACCATCAAAGAAAATATTGTCTGGGGGCGCTGCTGGGGTCGCTGCTGGGGGGTGCTGGGGGGTGCTGCTGGGGAGACGCTGCTTGGGGGGGGGACGCCGCTGGGGGGACGCTGCTGGGGGACGCTGCTGGGGGGACGCTGCTGGGGGGACGCTGCTGGGGGGACGCTGCTGGGGGGACGCTGCTGGGGGATGCTGCTGGGGAGCTACTGGGGACCCTACTGGGGGGCCCTGCTGGGGAGCTACTGGGGGGCCCTGCTGGGGAGCAACTGGGGGGGCCCTGCTGGGGGGCTACTGGGGGGCCCTGCGTTGTGCGTTGACGCCCGGCCCGATCTCGGTCGCGGCCCGCTCCCTCCACTTTGTCCGGGAAGTGTCCGCGATATGACCGTGGGGGGGGGGGTGATGGGGGGGTAGAGGGGTCAAGGAGGGTCCTCTGTCACCCCCCCCCCCCCTCCCCCAGCTGGTCGTCATTAACAGGCGGCCACCAGGAACGAATGAAATTGGAAACCAAGGCGCCATTAGGAGCGGAAGGCCTACGTCTCCAGTGCCTTAGGCCTCCGTGGCCGCCACACTCCCGGACCCGCCGCCGCCGCCAGCGCCGGTGATGCCACCTGGCGGCCGCCGCCAGCGCCGGTGATGCCACCTGGCGGCCGCCGCCAGCGCTGGTGATGCCACCTGGCGGCCGCCGCCAGCGCTGGTGATGCCACCTGGCGGCCGCCGCCAGCGCTGGTGATGCCACCTGGCGGCCGCCGCCAGCGCCGGTGATGCCACCTGGCGGCCGCCGCCAGCGCCGGTGATGCCACCTGGCGTCCGCCGCCAGCGCCGGTGATGCCACCTGGCGGCCGCCGCCAGCGCTGGTGATGCCACCTGGCGGCCGCCGCCAGCGCTGGTGATGCCACCTGGCGGCCGCCGCCAGCGCCGGTGATGCCACCTGGCGGCCGCCGCCAGCGCCGGTGATGCCACCTGGCGTCCGCCGCCAGCGCCGGTGATGCCACCTGGCGGCCGCCGCCAGCGCTGGTGATGCCACCTGGTGGCCGCAACATTACTCTCTCCGCCTGATAAATAAAAAGGGAACGTTGCTTTGGTTTTTGAGAGAAAGATGGCTTCCGGGGCCCCCTGGGTCAGACTCTGGCAGCTGTAACTCCGAGACGGCGCTATCTCTCCCTCTGCTTTATGGTCCTCGCTCGCGCCTCGTCGCGGCGGGAGAGTCGCTCTTATGTCCTCGCCGTGGGTGAGCATTGTCTTCCTATTTAACTTCTTCAGGGATCGAGGCGTGTGTTCTTAGTATATGATTAAGGAAATACGATGCTCAACGGCCTGCCTGGGTATTATATTGCTGTTGTGAATACTAAATCCTGTTCTGGTCGCGTCCTGCTCCAGCGCCAGCCTCGCCACCGCTTATATCAGCCTCTCTTTTTAACGCTGGCATATAGTACACACGCGCTCAAGTGGGAGAGGTGGCGCTCAAGTGGGAGAGGTGGCGCTCAAGTGGGAGAGGTGGCGCTCAAGTGGGAGAGGTGGCGCTCAAGGGGGAGAGGTGGCGCTCAAGTGGGAGAGGTGGCGCTCAAGTGGGAGAGATGGCGCTCAAGTGGGAGAGGTGGCGCTCAAGTGGGAGAGGTGGCGCTCAAGTGGGAGAGGTGGCGCTCAAGGGGGAGAGGTGGCGCTCAAACGGGAGAGGTGGCGCTGAAGTGAGAGAGGTGTCGCTCAAGTGTGGCAGAGGTGGTGGTGGAGGGGGGGGGGGGAAAGGAGTGGTAATGGCTGGGTTCTAAGTTAAGGTTTTTGTGTTGACTGTGATGTATGTGTGTGTGTGTGTCACTCCACTATACAACCATTTGTTGCTGTCATCTATGTATTTGTCTTCTCATTTGTAACTATTCCTTGTATACATATGTATGTATGTGTTCGTCTGTGTCTGTATACATATATATATATATATATATATATATATATATATATATATATATATATATATATATTATATATATATATGTCGTACCTAATAGCCAGAACGCACTTCTCAGCCTACTATTCAAGGCCCGATTTGCCTAATAAGCCAAGTTTTCATGAATTAATGTTTTTTCGTCTACCTAACCTACCTAACCTAACCTAACCTAGCTTTTTTTGGCTACCTAACCTAACCTTACCTATAAATATAGGTTAGGTTAGGTTAGGTAGGGTTGGTTAGGTTCGGTCATATATCTACGTTAATTTTAACTCCAATAAAAAAAAATGACCTCATACATAATGAAATGGGTAGCTTTATCATTTCATAAGAAAAAATTAGAGAAAATATAATAATTCATGAAAACTTGGCTTATTAGGCAAATTTGGCCTTGCATAGTAGGCTGAGAAGTGCGTTCTGGCTACTAGGTACGACATATATATATATATATATATATATATATATATATATATATATATATATATATATATATATATATATATATATATATATATATATATATATAATATATATAATATATATATAATATATATATATATATATATATAATAATATAATATATATATATATATATATATATATATATATATATATATATATATATATATATATATATATATATATATATATATATATATATATAAAGTTTGTGAGGGTACCACCTCTGGTGCCAATGTGGGGACCCATATGTGGTTTCTCACTGAACACTAATATTATCTTCTCCTACCACCCCCATTCTTTTGTATGTACACATATATATTTACTTTATTTGAACTTTGTTACAAAAAAGGAGTTACATATGGGTTACAAAGATGGTTATCATAGGTTGTCGAGTTCCTCCAGCTCCTCAGATGTCGGGCAGGAACCCTGGATGCAGTGTGCATTTCCCCTCTGTATCGCCACACTGAGGCGCTGGAAAAGAAAGCTTGCAGCTCTTGGGTCCCATGTTGTTTCAATGAGCCTAGAACCCAGTTCCTTCAAAAAACTGGTAGCACTTTTACCCCAGGCGCCGAGTGTCTCAGAAGCAATGGGGACAAAAGTGTAGTGGTGATCCAGTTCACTATACTTACGGGATTTGGCTGCTTCCCTGTGGGTGGCAGCGCCACCTGGTTGTGCAACACTGAGGTTAATGTAGGTGTTAGCCAGGGTTGATACGCACGTGTAGTCCCATACCAACTGCTTGCCATTCTTCCAGGGGTTCACTGTGATACCATCCGGGCGACCAATAAGAGCATCAGAGTTACGGGGCGTTAGGTAACGGGGCTCTCTTTCAGCTGGGCATCCAGCTGTGGTGAGGCTCCTCTTGATGATGTCGTTAACTTCACTGTGCCTCGAGTGCCATCCCCCTGTGCTTTGGCAGAGTAGGCCATGGTGGCCGTACCTGTCAGCCACCACCTAGCCGCAAATACACCTATATCTGGTGTGGATTGGGGCAGCAAGGCGGAGGGCCACAGCAATTCGGAGGGCGTGTGGTGTGAGACGCGTGCCAGTTGCCGACATTGGGGTTGCTAACAGGAAAACCCCTGCATGTGGTGCTGCTACTGCTGTGAGGCGAGCAATGTCGTGTTGTGTTGTTGCAGCACCCAGGCACTCTGCAGCAACTATCTATATATATATATATATATATATATATATATATATATGCGGAAAATCCACGGAGAAATATGAAATGAGGTGAACGTTTCGGCTTTGTTAAAGCCTTTGTCAACACCAGTCAGTCTGGTGTTGACAAAGGCTTTAACAAAGCCGAAACGTTCACCTCATTTCATATTTCTCTGTGGATTTTCCGCATAAAATGATCAGTGTTTTGTGATCGTCAATTGCATATATATATATATATATGTCGTACCTAGTAGCCAGAACGCACTTCTCAGCCTACTATGCAAGGCCCGATTTGCCTAATAAGCCAAGTTTTCATGAATTAATATATTTTCTTTATTTTTTTCTTATGAAATGATAAAGCTACCCATTTCATTATGTATGAGGTCAATTTCTTTTTATTGGAGTTAAAATTAACATAGATATATGACCGAACCTAACCAACCCTACCTAACCTAACCTAACCTATCTTTATAGGTTAGGTTAGGTAGCCGAAAATGTTAGGTTAGGTTAGGTTAGGTAGTCGAAAATACATTAATTCATGAAAACTTGGCTTATTAGGCAAATCGGGCCTTGCATAGTAGGCTGAGAAGTGCGTTCTGGCTACTAGGTACGACATATATATGTATATATATATGTATATATATATATGTATATATATATATGTATATATATATATGTATATATATATATGTATATATATATATGTATATATATATATGTATATATATATATGTATATATATATATGTATATATATATATGTACATATATATATGTATATATATATATGTATATATATATATATATATATGTATATATATATATGTATATATATATGTATATATATATGTATATATATATGTATATATATATGTATATATATATGTATATATATATATATATATATATATATATATATATATATATATATATATATATATATATAATATATATATATATATTAGTATATTTTGGTAGCAGTCTTTCTTGTAAGCATATGTGGTTGAATATGACCGAAAAGGTAAGATTAATAATTCTAACACGAATTTTCTCAATATTTCTTATGTTTTTCTTCACTGTCGGTAGTAATGGAAATATCAATTCTCCAAAATCCATTTTAATTTATGGTCTGACGCCTGAACACGTTTCGTAATGGCTTATTACATTTTCAAAGACTTAATTTACACACAAATTCATCATACTTATACTCTATTGGGTGAGGTGATATGATACAAAAGTTTTGGGTGAGGTGAAGAGACTTGTGACAAACACAAGACAGAACACGAAACAATGGGTATAACTTGGATATGAGGACATAAAAATGGAAGTAAGTGCAGAAGGCCTATTGGTCCATACTTCCTCTTGCTACTTCCATATTGTTTCGGAGCCTTGAAGTGGGTAGAATATAGTTGTGCATTAATTGGCTGTTGATTGCTGGTGTTGACTTCTTGATGTGTAGTGCCTCGCAGATGTCAAGCCGCCTGTTATCGCTGTATCTATCGATGATTTCTGTGTTGTTTGTTAAGAAGTCTTAAGCCATCTCCCAATCAATTTGGTGAGAATTTTCTGACAAATTAACAAACAAAGCATTAGACAATTGGCTATGTCTTACAGAGTATTTATGTTGCGAAATTCTACATTTCAAATCTTTAGATGTTTGCCCAACATAGAACTTATTACAGTCTTTACAATGTATTTTATAAATGACACAATTATCACTACGAGGGCTGTTTCTAACTAATAATTTACCAACAGTATTTTCGTAATTAAACAATACATGTTTATCAAAATGTTTCAAGGCCTTGACCATATTTTCAAACTTAGAAAATATGGTAAACATAACACATTCTTTGGCCGAATTTTTTCACTGCATATATTATTATAATATGTACGACGTGCTTTGCTACAGCAAACTTCCAAAAAACTCAGTTGATAACAAATCTTGAGACCAATAGAATACATATTCTTGAACTCTTCATCTAAGAATTCTGGAGTAACAACCCGAAGAGCTCTTAGATATATAGAGGGAAAAATTTGATTGTTTCACATTGTATCTATGACCTGAGAAATAATGACCATAAGATAAATTATTTCTCAGGGCATGGATACAATGTGAAACAATCAATTTTGTCCTCTATGTATCTAAGAGCTCTTCGGGTTGTTAGTATCAAGTACCTTGATGCTATCAAGTTAGTACTGATTATCGGGTTGATAATAAGACAATAGAAGCATAGAAAGCCTACATTATAAGATCAATAACGCCAGCAATGTGATCATATTTAAACAAATATATATATATATATATATATATATATATATATATATATATATATATATATATATATATATGTCGTACCTAATAGCCAGAACGCACTTCTCAGCCTACTATGCAAGGCCTGATTTGCCTAATAAGCCTAGTTTTCATGAATTAATGTTTTTTCGACAACCTAACCTACCTAACCTAACCTAACCTATAGAGATAGGTTAGGTTAGGTTAGGTAGGGTTGGTTAGGTTCGGTCAAATATCTACGTTAATTTTAACTCCAATAAAAAAAATTGACCTCATACATAATGAAATGGATAGCTTTATCATTTCATAAAAAAAAAGTTAGAGAAAATATATTAATTCAGTAAAACTTGGCTTATTAGGCAAATCGGGCCTCGCATAGTAGGCTGAGAAGTGAGTTCTGGCTACTAGGTACGACATATATATATATATATATATATATATATATATATATATATATATATATATATATATATATATATATATATATATATATATATATATATATATCAACAAAAGGTTGGTAGATAGAGCGTATGGGGCACCTCACATGCAAGTCTCCATCTTGGACTTCATGAATGTCATTAATAGTGACTGTGTGTGACCTTGTACATACAGCTTGACCTCAGTATGTGATACAGTTACACAATAAATGCACATTGTTCTTCACCCCTACAATGATGTCTTCTGTTAGGTCTCGCCAGCATCTTATCTAATGGTTCAATATCTTGTGTGTTTCAGGTACGTGTGGAGAAGGGGTGACGGTGGAGGAGGTAAGGCACTCTAGTGGTTACTCTAGTGGTTACTCTAGTGGTTACTCTAGTGGTTACTCTAGTGGTTACTCTAGTGGTTACTCTAGTGGTCACTCTAGTGGTTACTCTAGTGGTTACTCTAGTGGTTACTGTAGTGGTCACTCTTGTGGTCACTCTTGTGGTCACTCTAGTGGTTACTCTAGTGGTCACTCTAGTGGTCACTCTAGTGGTTACTGTAGTGGTTACTCTAGTGGTTACTGTAGTGGTCACTCTTGTGGTCACTCTAGTGGTTACTCTAGTGGTTACTCTAGTGGTCACTCTAGTGGTCACTCTAGTGGTTACTCTTGTGGTCACTCTAGTGGTTACTCTAGTGGTCACTCTAGTGGTCACTCTAGTGGTTACTCTAGTGGTTACTCTAGTGGTCACTCTAGTGGTTACTCTAGTGGTTGTTCTAGTGGTTCTAGTGGTTACTCTAGTGGTTACTCTAGTGGTTACTCTAGTGGTCACTCTAGTGGTCACTCTAGTGGTCACTCTAGTGGTTACTCTAGTGGTTACTCTAGTGGTCACTCTAGTGGTCACTCTAGTGGTTACTCTAGTGGTCACTCTAGTGGTTACTCTAGTGGTTACTCTAGTGGTCACTCTAGTGGTCACTCTAGTGGTCGCTCTAGTGGTCACTCTAGTGGTCACTCTAGTGGTCACTCTAGTGGTCACTCTAGTGGTCACTCTAGTGGTTGCTCTAGTGGTCACTCTAGTGGTTACTCTAGTGGTCACTCTAGTGGTCACTCTAGTGGTCACTCTAGTGGTTGCTCTAGTGGTCACTCTAGTGGTTACTCTAGTGGTCACTCTAGTGGTCACTAGTGGTTGTTCTAGTGGTTACTCTAGTGGTCACTCTAGTGGTCACTAGTGGTTACTCTAGTGGTCACTCTAGTGGTCACTCTAGTGGTTGTTCTAGTGGTTACTCTAGTGGTTTAAGCAGTCATGCTCCGGTTCGCTCTGTTGTGTAGCCACTCCCTAACAAATCTAACCTAGCCAGAGACGTACCAACCCCAGCAACCCACCTAACCTGTCGAGTGGCATGCATAGAAGGAACTGATATTTGTGTCAAGTTGTGAATAGATTGTATATTTATGTATTCATTTATTGATATACCAGAAGGTACATTGGGTTTATGAGAGTACATAGCATTGATGGTTTTACATCCTTGTTAAAAACATCAATGCTATGTACTACGTATGTAGCAGAGTATATGTAACACCTGCCACCGATTAGTGGAGAGGACGGGATGGTTGGTCAACATTTATGTGGGTTCCTTACACACCTTAACTCGTGCACGTCACCAGGCACGTGAGGCCACGGCACCCGTGCACGTCACCAGGCACGTGAGGCCACGGCATTCGTGCACGTCACCAGGCACGTGAGGCCACGGCACCCGTGCACGTCACCAGGCACGTGAGGCCACGGCACCCGTGCACGTCACCAGGCACGTGAGGCCACGGCACCCGTGCACGTCACCAGGCACGTGAGGCCACGGCACTCGTGCACGTCACCAGGCACGTGAGGCCACGGCACCCGTGCACGTCACCAGGCACGTGAGGCCACGGCACCCGTGCACGTCACCAGGCACGTGAGGCCACGGCACCCGTGCACGTCACCAGGCACGTGAGGCCACGGCACCCGTGCACGTCACCAGGCACGTGAGGCCACGGCACCCGTGCACGTCACCAGGCACGTGAGGCCACGGCACTTGTGCACGTCACCAGGCACGTGAGGCCACGGCACCCGTGCACGTCACCAGGCACGTGAGGGCACGGCACTCGTGCACGTCACCAGGCACGTGAGGGCACGGCACCCTTGCACGTCACCAGGCACGTGAGGCCACGGCACCCGTGCACGTCACCAGGCACGTGAGGCCACGGCACTCGTGCACGTCACCAGGCACGTGAGGCCACGGCACTCGTGCACGTCACCAGGCACGTGAGGGCACAGCACTCGTGCACGTCACCAGGCACGTGAGGCCACGGCACCCGTGCACGTCACCAGGCACGTGAGGGCACGGCACTCGTGCACGTCACCAGGCACGTGAAGCCACGGCACCCGTGCACGTCACCAGGCACGTGAGGGCACGGCAGGTCTAGCTGCTTCTTCAGTAAGGGATCTTGCAAGTCTCCCATGAAAGACATAATTGTTTTGCACAAGGTGGGAGGGAAGAGGGTAGTGGGAGGGATGTGCTGGGAAAGGGAAGGTGGGAGTAAAAAGAGGAAAGAAAGAGGGAAGGGGATTTGAAAAGGGGGGGGGGCGGAGCGAGTGGGATTTGGAAGGGAAAGGGAATTGAATAAGAATTTTGTTGGGAGGATGAAAGGAGTGGGGTTTGGTGGGAGGGGGGAGGCTTGTGTTGTGGGAGGGGGAAGGGGGAACGGTGGGGTTGGGGTGGAGGGGGTGGTGATGATGGGGAAGAGAGAGGGGGGGGGGGGTCGTATAAGCACTATATGGCAGCCCACTACGGATATATTACGGTGTACGTCGATTTAATTTATTCGACTAAAGCTGATATTATAAATACAGAAATTGCCAAGATAAACAGACTTGGCGCCGTGAATTGTCGCCGTACGCCCTCTGAACCGGATGAGAATATTCGGATGGGAATATTCGGATAAGAATATTCGGATGAGAGGAGTAAAAGTGATATTATATGAGTAAGTCAAGAATATAGGAAACTCCACGTAAAATGTTTATTACATTTTAATCAACCGTAAAATGGTTTTTGGAATTCCAATTTGTTCAGACGCGGGTTCCATTGTCAAGAAATTGTCTTTGTTTCGTCATGAAATTGTGTTCGGGGGGGGGGGGGGGCGGTGGGTGGGAAGGGTGTGGTGTTGGGGGGGCGGTGGGTGGGAAGGGTGTGGTGTTGGGGGGGGGGCGGTGGGTGGGATGGGTGTGGTGTTGGGGGGGGGCGGTGGGTGGGAAGGGTGTTGGGGGGGGGGGCGGTGGATGGGAAGGGTGTGGTGTTGGGGGGGGGGCGGTGGGTGGGAAGGGTGTGGTGTTGGGGGAGGGGGCGGTGGGTGGGAAGGGTGTGGTGTTGGGGGGGGGGGCGGTGGGTGGGAAGGGTGTGGTGTTGGGGGGGGGGGGGGGGCGGTGGGTGTGAAGGGCGTGGTGTTGGGGGGGCGGTGGGTGGGAAGGGTGTGGTGTTGGGGGGGGGGCGGTGGGTGGGAAGGGTGTGGTGTTGGGGGGGGGCGGTGGGTGGGAAGGGTGTGGTGTTGGGGGGGGGGGCGGTGGGTGGGAAGGGTGTGGTGTTGGGGGGGGGGGGGCGGTGGGTGGGAAGGGTGTGGTGTTGGGGGGGGCGGTGGGTGGGAAGGGTGTGGTGTTGGGAGGGGGGCGGTGGGTGGGAAGGGTGTGGTGTTGGGGGGGGGGGCGGTGGGGGTGGGAAGGGTGTGGTGTTGGGGGGGGCGGTGGGTGGGAAGGGTGTGGTGTTGGGGGGGGCGGTGGATGTGAAGGGTGTGGTGTTGGGGGGGGCGGTGGGTGGGAAGGGTGTGGTGTTGGGGGGGGCGGTGGGTGGGAAGGATGTGGTGTTGGGGGGGGGGGCGGTGGGTGGGAAGGGTGTGGTGTTGGGGGGGGGGGGGGGGGGTGGGAAGGGTGTGGTGTTGGGGGGGCGGTGGGTGGGAAGGGTGTGGTGTTGGGGGGGGGGCGGTGGGTGTGAAGGGTGTGGTGTTGGGGGGGGCGGTGGGTGGGAAGGGTGTGGTGTTGGGGGGGGGGCGGTGGGTGGGAAGGGTGTGGTGTTGGGGGGGGGCGGTGGGTGGGAAGGGTGTGGTGTTAGGGGGGCGGTGGGTGGGAAGGGTGTGGTGTTGGGGGAGCGGTGGGTGGGAAGGGTGTGGTGTTGGGGGGGGCGGTGGGTGGGAAGGGTGTGGTGTTGGGGGGGGGCGGTGGGTGGGAAGGGTGTGGTGTTGGGGGGGGCGGTGGGTGTGAAGGGTGTGGTGTTGGGGGGGGCGGTGGGTGGGAAGGGTGTGGTGTTGGGGGGGGGGGCGGTGGGTGGGAAGGGTGTGGTGTTGGGGGGGGGCGGTGGGTGGGAAGGGTGTGGTGTTGGGGGGGGCGGTGGGTGGGAAGGGTGTGGTGTTGGGGGGGGGGCGGTGGGTGGGAAGGGTGTGGTGTTGGGGGGGGGCGGTGGGTGGGAAGGGTGTGGTGTTGGTGGGGGGGCGGTGGGTGGGAAGGGTGTACTCACCTAGTTGTGTTTGCGGGGGTTGAGCTCTGGCTCTTTGGTCCCGCCTCTCAACCGTCAATCAACAGGTGTACAGATTCCTGAGCCTATCGGGCTCTGTCATATCTACACTTGAAACTGTGTATAGAGTCAGCCTCCACCACATCACCCCCTAATGCATTCCATTTGTCAACCACTCTGACACTAAAAAAGTTCTTTCTAATATCTCTGTGGCTCATTTGGGCACTCAGTTTCCACCTGTGTCCCCTTGTGCGTGTTCCCCTTGTGTTAAATAGACTGTCTTTATCTACCCTATCAATTCCCTTGAGAATCTTGAATGTGGTGATCATGTCCCCCCTAACTCTTCTGTCTTCCAGCGAAGTGAGGTTTAATTCCCGTAGTCTCTCCTCGTAGCTCATACCTCTCAGCTCGGGTACTAGTCTGGTGGCAAACCTTTGAACTTTTTCCAGTTTAGTCTTATCCTTGACTAGATATGGACTCCATGCTGGGGCTGCATACTCCAGGATTGGCCTGACATATGTGGTATACAAAGTTCTGAATGATTCTTTACACAAGTGTGGTGTTGGGAGGATGGTGAGTCGGAGGGGGCGGGGAGGGGGGGAGAAACGATGAGGCAGCAGGGGGGGGGTTGTGGTGTTGTAATATGGTGAATACAATGAGCCGGGGGGGGGATATGGTGAGGTTGTGGCTGCCTGTGTGTATGGGTTATGGTGTATCTGTTAGGTCAGTATTATTTCCTTTGGACATTCATTTCAGTGTTTTCTGCAACTGTTGATCTGCTTCAGGCTGTTTTTGCAAGTGTCGACAATATCATGCTTTAAAAATGCCAACAATGAAGAAAAAGCACGTATTGAGAACTATGCCTCTTCAACGCAAGCAGAGCTAACTGCCATTGTTATGGCGTTAAGGTTTCTTGAACGGAACACAAATGATGCAGTGATTTGCACCGATTCAAAAGCAGCACTGCAAAGCCTAAGTAAAAATCGGGCAGAAAATCTTGCAATAGTCGCTGAAATTAAGAGAGCTGTGAGAGTACTTACCAATCAGGGAAGAGTCATCAAGTTTCTGTGGATCCCCTCCCATGTTGGAATATGTGGGAATGAACGAGCAGATGTGCTGGCTGCTGAAGGCGCTGAAGGAGACCATATTGAATACTTCATACCCAAGACTCAACTACAAATTAGAGGTATTGTCAGGCAACATCACCGTGACAAGGTAACTGAGGAAAGGAGGATAGAAGCACAAACCAGTGAATCTGTACGATGGTACAACATGGTTGCAGCTGGCAATCCCAGTCATTATGGCCGAAGAGGAGGACGACGAGGAAGAGAATCAGTAATAGCGAGAATCCGTCTTGGATACAAATATCCTTGGAGATACGGAATGGAAACAACAGTTGATCAGCGAAGTTGCAGAATCTGTGATGAGAGTGACGGACACCGCCTTGACCACTATCTACGTGAATGTGAACACCTGAGAGATATCAGAAGTATGTGTAGAATAATAAACCCCACATTGTTTGAGTTAGGAAAACACTATTTGTCAATTATTGATACTGTTCTTAAAAGATTTCCCCATTTTGCACCCGCAAGATAACGTAAGCTTTTAAGGGTTGATAGATGTTAATCTTCTTGTTTGAGGAGCTGTT